ATACCCTCATGCGTGAACGGGACATCCCGTACACAGCAGTGAGCACGCCTAGCGGCACGCTCTGGGAATGGCTAGTGATGCCACAGGGGCTAAGTAACGCCCCTGAAACGTTCAACAGATGTGTTACGAATTTGTTGTGATCGGTGCGAGACTTCGCACCGAGTTACTTTGACGTTGTCTTCATCCGTAGCCGGGCTATGGATGGAAAGACGGACGCGGAGGTTCATAAACACGTCTTTCAGGATCTTACACTTATGCGTGAGCATAAGTTGTTTGCGAACCTCGAGAAGTGTGTATTCGCAGCGAACGAAATACCACATCTTGGCTGCATCTGTACTATACAGCAGACAACGGCGACACACCTCGTGCCGTAGTTCCCGCTCATGATGATTTGCGACTACGCATCATGTACGAGTGTCACGATGCCTTAACAAGTCGGCATTGCGGTAGAGAAAAGACTTACCTCATGGTGAGTCGTGACTTCAACTGGCCCCGCCAGTATGAGTTTCTGCGCAAATGCATTCAGGCTTGCGAAGTTTGCCACCGAGTGAAGCCTAGTCCTTCGTCCCGTGCACCCTTGCAGCCTATACCAATTCTGGCTGAGTGCTGGCAGTCCGTATCGATGGACTTCGTCTTCGAGATTCCCAAATACGCTCACAAGAATACAGGCATTCTCGTGTTTGTTGATCGGTTCAGCAAGATAGTACATCTTGTTGCTGTACCGGAGTCAATCACAGCTCAGGGCTGTGCTCGTGTCTTCATTGATACCATCTTCCGACCTTACGGGATGCCCCGTGAACTCGTGTCGGATAGGAACCCCCGCTTCACATCGGAGTTCTGGCAATCCATGTTTCGTTCACTAAAAACACGTTTAAAGATGTCGACTTCTGACCATCCTGAAACAGATGGTCAGAAGGAATGCGTCACCGCGTCCTCGAAGAGATACTTCGAGGTTACGTCCACTTGTTTGCGAGTTAGAGTGAATTCTTGCCGATGGCGTAATTCTCCATCAACAACTCGGTGCATGCGTCGACAACGCATACACCGTTCTTCATGAATGGCCTACGTCATCCACGTTTACCCGCCTTCTTAGATTGTGACTCTGGTTAAAAGTGGGGGTTGGACTCGCTCGAACCAAAACCGATCTGGTTCTTGCTCATCACACGTCGACAACGGTGTCGACGTGATGGATGCCGATGCCGACCACATCGACATCGATGATGATAATGATGACGATGCTGGTATGTTCAGCATCGTCAATGACTGCTACAGTGAGGGAGATGACACCCTCACCGTTGAAGACAACGTTCTTTCAGCAGTGCACACGAAGCGCACTGCTGTTGACAAGGATGAATCAGCAGAGGAATTTCTGCTGACTCGCGAAGCGGTTGTCCGCTTCGTTCAAGACTCTATTGCAGTAGAGTCTTGAACGAAGCGGACAACCGCTTCGCGCGCACTAGACAGACAGAAAAAGAAACGCATACATCCATGAAAGAGCAAATGTTCTTTCATTTAATGAAGGAGATTTAGTTTTACCTTCTACAGTAAACCTACCGAAACACGCAGTGACAAAAGTGAGCAGCAGTAAATTACTGCCCAAGTGCATCGGTCCATTTCGTGTATTGCGCCGCATGGGCAGCGCATACACGATCGAACCGCCTCGTGGGATGTGTACGCGATCTCGTTTTGCATTGGACGTCTCCATACTTACTATCAGTACGAGCCCGTTTCGAGAGGCGATGAACACCTCCGCGGTCAAGGAACGAAACCACCTTCAAGTAATCTCATTTCAGCGGGCCAGTCTGGTCGACTAGCGAAGCGACCTGCTCACGCAGTTGAGCGATTTCCTGACGAGCTTAAGTCAGCTCGTTACGAAGAGAATGAGTCGAACTCTCGTTCTCAAGTAGTGCAAACGAAAATGCAGCACGATCGTTTGAATGATCGTGCTCCAAGAAATTTTGATTTCCATTACAATGTCATGAAGCTCATAACGCCGAGTCCATTTGATCTTCCTTTACAATGCCATGAAGCTCATAACACCGAGTCCGTTCATGAGCCAAGTCCTCGTGTGACTGTTTAACTACACGGTTCAGTTCCTGAACCTTAAGCTGATCCGACCCTCGAGCCGGATCAGGTACTCCCGCCACCACCACATCCTTCGGTGGATTCTGGCGGTGGTCAACGTTTTCTGGCGTACCTTATTTTTAAACAACCTCAACGTGAAGGGCGTCCAGACGAGTTACCTCGTCTTCTGGCGTGGCTATCCACCGTCCTGGGACAGCTGGGAGCCTCGCGTCCAGCTGCTTGTTGATGTTCTGGGTCTCGTCGAGCAATATGACGAGACCCACCCGCTGCGTTCAAATAAGGGCCGTCGGAATACGACCTACCCGAGCGCGAGTACAGGGATTGCAAAGTGTCAATCCCTTAGGCCATCTCGGAAGAGATGCGCGCCCTCCAGTAGGGAACATTAGGGAGGTAGGCCTTACTAGGGGCACGATTGGAGCTGTCCGGGCAACTTGGACATGAATTACCCCACGAGAGACAGGGTAATCCTGCCTCTCTTGACAGTCGGTGCAACTTGTATTGTACACTGACTTAATTACATTTTTCAAACCTGATGCGAGCTGCATCAAGTTTATCGAGCCAGGCCTCACAGTCAATGCACTCGATGTTATGGATGAAGGCATTCCATCCTTGCACCAAAGCCTTACCGTCTCGACCACGGTTGCCGTTGTACCACCGATGTTTGAAAATGCATCGGTGAAGAACTCTTCCTCAGCACGGATGGTTTCCATGCTGGAATTCGGAGGACAGACCTCCTACAGTCGAACAACGGGATTCGATCCTGTTCGGTGGTCATACCGGCCACTCAATCTAACTCCTTGGATGATGGCATCCAATGAGACTTCACTTGAGGAGCGTGGCGCAGGACATTTCGGTCCCTGGCCTCTTGAGTGGTGTCAGCATGAGCACTGACGCCAGTGGCAGCTCGATCCCTCGATTTGCTTCTCTCGTGGTGATGCATAAGTACATCACCACCTTCAATACGTGTCCTATCGTCAGATGGGCTTGCATGAGATGAGGATTCGTCAGACGAATCGCTTAGTCCGAAGATATCGCACATGATGCCGCCACGTTCCCCAAGCCAGTCAACCTGGCTCTTGCAGTGTCCGCCCGGGTGATCCGGAGGCGTGAGGTGTCGCCTTTAAGTCGGATGCATCATCCGATTCACCAGAGTAGATGAGCCCTATCTCAGGCTCATCTACATAACGATTAGCACCACCCGCTGCAGACGCAGCAGATGTATCTGTCGCACGTGGTGACTCACCACGTGGACTCTTCACAACAAGCACTGCTTGTTGCTGAACCGCAGCAGCAGGCGAAGGACCACCTGCTGCTGGAGCAAGAGAAGAACCCTCTTCGTCTGCACGCATGCGTACAACCTCCTTTCTTGCTGCTTCGGCAGAACATCGCATGGAATTTGACAACATGCGATAAATTGGCAAATGAGTTGAAATTTGACCAAAAAGTGCCCCCTTCCCAAAGTGATCCAACGGTGATCATCCTGTCCCAATCAATTCTATTCAATCAACAGGTAATTGCAGGTTGGGGGGGGGTGATGTAACGGGGTAGCCTGTTACATGATATTGACACCAAACGGTGTTTATAGGAAGGTTGTCTAGCGTGACAATTCCCTACCGATATCATCCGAGATGGATGGTATCAAAGAAAAAAATATGTCTTAAGATAACATTCATGCGCTGCTTGGATATTGGTTGATAAAGACATATTAACTAAGGTTACCACCAATCGCTGCTAGACGCGCGTTATGAGTGGTGAGCAGGTCGTCGTCATGCGACAACATAGACTAGTTTAGCAAGATAAAGACTGAATATATCTTAATAGCTTTACTACATTAAGTACAGTTCTCTTTTCTACCCTTTACTTAGACTAGCTGTTTGAGCAGATTAGCTTCCTCTGCACGTACTAGTGTACGTGAAGTATCGTGGTGCCCTAAACAAAGAGGGCTCCGTTACATAACCTCTTTGCTGAAGAGTTGTGTTTTTGGCTATCGCCTTCTAAACGCGCTGGACCACTACGCTCGCGAACCGTAAGGTTGCATTGGACAAGTGTTTCTATTCGAAAGCGACGATTATTTTGTTGCCTCTTATCGTTGGTGATCATGAGCGTTACGCACTATGCGGTGTCGCGAAACATTGTCAATAAATGAGCAAAGGGTCGGTGTACAAAGTTTTTGATGCTTTATCACCTATCCGATCGCAGCTCAGATTGCAGCGTAATGTTCGTCTTGTAAAAAGTTCTTGCTGTTGTTACCTCGAACAGAACGTCGACCTGCTGAACGAGGCTGTAGTCGCGTCTACTATGCATAGCTTCTGAGCTGCAAAAGAGTGTCGGCATCATATTAAGTACCTTATGCACACTGCCTTATTGTATAATGGCCCTTCGCATATTTGCTGTCGTAAACTTGCGGGATCTAGCAAACGTCTTGCCAAACAATCAGCTTCTATTTAGCCGCTCTGATCCGATGGAGCGTGTCTTTGATTAACTGATTTAGTTCGATTTAAAATACACAAGGCGGCACTGCCTGACTCATTTTCACTGACATGGACTTTTTTATGAAATTGAGCATTGCTCTTTCTACTTACGTTATATTGTATAGAATATGTTTTATCGCTCATTCTAATTACCTAACATTTATCCAAAAATGCATCGCTCTTCTCTTTACTAAGCGTTAAAGGGTTATTTATCGACCAGGAGTAGAAGAAATACAGACTAATTACACGACAGATGTGGGAACTGAACGAGGCATCTAAACGGGTTGGTTTACACGGAGATGAGATAGATAATGAGAAGAGCGAAGATGCAAGTGTCAAAGTATTTTAGGTATTTGATCTTGCGCGTTCAAGCGTCCTAGCTCAAACTGCTCACGAAAGTAGCGAACGATTCTACAGCCTGCACGGCGGCCCTCTCTTTGCTGTCTAAACTGTCTCGACCGTAATGACCTGGTTCAGGGCGAAGTGCAAACTCGGGTAAAGCACTTGCATCACGCTCACGCGTCCAGATCCAATGGCGATCGTGCGAAGGTACTTGTCGTCACCAAAGTCAGCCAAGTTTCCTGTACTGGTGTTCCAGCGGTTCCAGACAGTACGGTCGGTACAGGGCATAGCCGGGGTGTGGGCACCATCACCCGTGGTAGCAGTGGCCTTAACGATGAAGTTCCGGTTGCACTGCTCACCCTTGACGTGGGCGACTACGTCGGTGTTGACGTTCTTGTGGATAGAGTCGACCTGAATAGGAATGCCGAAGCTGTCACACTCGTCGATCTGGACCTTGTTCGTGATCCGGTCAAGGAATTCATATCCCTGTAGGCCCGAAATCATCACATTGCCGTCGCGGATCGTAGGGACAGCAAAGTAGTTCTGTAGCAGCAGGTCGAAACTGATGGCTGTCGTGTGCGTGTTGATCACAGTGTAGGTGATCTCGAGCGAAAATGGCCACAACTGTACTTCGTACATCAGCTGGAAGGCGAAAGGCCACAGCTGCATGGTGGCGTCAGACGACTTCAGGTGGAAGACAGCATAGGTGGGCTGGGTGGCATTTGCCGCCGGAACCAAACTGCCGGCCTCCCACACCATAGTACGAGCAAACCCGTTAGTAGGGACAGAGTAGGCTTTGGAGGTCCCGTAGAAGGGGAACACGGCAGCAATACCGCCCTGAATGGGGTTTATACCGTCAAAGGCCGACTGGTCATTGTTCATGAACAGCACGTTCACATCCGGGTTGTGGCACGTGTAGAACGAAATCACTTGCACGCCGAGGGTAGAAACCTCCGCACGAGAGCCGGACTTGTGCGTAAGTTGAACAATCATTGGAGCTGCGTAAGTAGCTCCTAGCGATTCCGGGAGAGACGAAGCCAGCAGCGTCGAGGACACCAAGGCCGCAGTCTTGAACAGGGACGAGCAGACCATGGCTTAACTGGAAGGAAGGCCCGTAGGAGGTGGAGGTCGGAGTTGCGCTTGGGGTGAAGAAGGTGAATTCCGAAATGAGCAATTGAATCGATCAAGAAGGAGGTTCGTGACGAAGGGCAGATTGGGTGTAGACTTCGTAAGCGACAGAGGACAGCGTTCACACAAGTATGTATGTAGGGGATGTGACATCATCTTGAATTGCTGGCTGAGAGGCTCAGTGGACACGGAACTCCCATCGTAAGATGCCGTACATGCGTTGAGGATCAATAGGTATGTGTGACACGTGTGTAGCCTGTACCTAGAAGGTGACAGGATCATCGTTGTTGTGATTACTAATGATTGGAAAACGGAACCAGCTACACAGTTGCACATCGAGCTCAAGGATTGGACTTAACGAAGTTGTACCGTGCTCGTAGCAAACAAACACTAAATTCCCTTTAATCCTCTGCTCATAAACTCAACGCCAAATCTCACACGTGGTATTGAATGTTCTTGCGACACCACCACACCGAACTTTGCACCGTAGAACATTCTTGAACGCTGTGCCAGAGAGGCGTCGTCGGCACATTCGCTAACCGGAAGGCCCTTTTAAAATACCGGACCAGGCGGATGGGGAAGCGGCCTGAGCGGATATGGAAGCGATTGTGACACACTCCCGAGACGATTTGTCACCTAAGCTACGGACTCCTTACTCTTCAATCTGCAGTGCTGGGTGGGGGAGTATAAACAGGACACGAACTGGCGTTAGCCAGCTCTTCTCGAACGACGGCTCTGGAGCCGCCACCATGCCCCCCTCCCGACAGGGGGGGGACGCGGCTTTGCCAAGGGGCCAGCCGGACGACCCGGGAAACTCTAGCCCGGCCCTCGACTTACCGGAGGACGCGGGGCCTCCGGAGAAGGCTCCTTCTCCCTCCGCTGGTAGCCCCACATCCTCTGCAAACGGGGCAGGGGCGCAAGAACACGCCGCATCTGCTGCTCACGGGACAGGGGCTCCAGTACACGCCGCATCTTCTGCTCACGGGACAGGGGTTCCAGTGCACGCCGCATCTTCTCCTCTTGCGGACTCTCAGCTGCCGACCTCCTCAGCGGCTATGGAGTCAGGCTTGGCGGGGGATGCTTCCTTCACCATGGCAGACCAGCCACTGCGTAGCGGCAAGACGGATGCAGTAACGCCGCGGCTAGACGGACCCACCGGGCGCGCTTCGGGGGAGGATTCCGAGTCCTCCTCGTCGCCTTCGCAGGCTTTCACGCCCCCGGTTCATCCGCGCGACATGTTTGAGGCCCTTACCGCGGCGATGAAGGCTTCTTCGGGGCCCCCGTACCTAGATGTCTGGCGCCAGACCATCCAGGAGTTATTTGCGCTGGAATTTGCCCGCCTTCCAGTCAGCTTCGACGCGTTGCCGGCCGAACGCAAACGGTATCCCAAGCTCACAAGTACCGAGCTGGTGAGTTTGCTGGATTTGTTTAAGCAGTGTTTTGTTGTGACATCCGGCCGCTACGTCGACTGGGCCCGTTTAGCCCACCAGATCAGTAAGGAGATCCTCGTCACGAAGTGGGCGTTCAAAGAAATCTTGCGCAAGCTGGCCAGCCGACAGAAATGGGCTGTGGCTCCAATCCCGCGGCTGTGGTCTCAAGTCGTGCAGACAGGCAGTGCTGCTGCACCTGCCAGTACGACAGGCAAGCAGCGTACCGTGTTCGATGACTTTATGTTCGATCCGGCACATTTTTCGGAGGAAGAGACGACCACGCTCCGAGCCATTTGCGCAACGCGCCTTAACTTGACAGGTACTCACCGTCTGCGCGAGGGTACAGATGATGAATGGCGCATCATCATTGGGATTGCGGAAGGGCTTATTGCCTGTCATCGGCTGCCTGATTTTCTCAATTCTGTCTTCGACAGCGACGAGCGGCTTCGGTTGTGTCGGACTGTTCAGGCGCAGGTCGAGGGACAGTTGGTATTAAAACTTAGACATGGACGTGATATCCCAATTGGACGCCGGACGACCCACGCTATTACGGAGAAATTTTTGGAATCGGCGGAAATCTTGCGGGTCTGCTTGCCGGATCTTCACCGTTTCCTCGGGTTGGCCAACCCGATAAGCTACAATCGTTCTACCCGTTCAATCCACTTCTATTTCTTTACGCGAGCCATTGCCAAGGCGCACCAGGATGTCGTAGTGCCTTTTCAGGGGAGGGCGTACACGCTCGAGAATGTTCATCACCCGGTCAGGGGCTCGGTCTGGTTGAATCAGCGGGGACCAGACGGGCGGTCGAGCCACCCTCGGGCAGCATACACCATTTTGCTGTATAATCTCACCCGGTTTGATGATATTGGGCGCATTGCTGCCTACCTCCGCTCCAAGATACCAACGGATTTTGAGCTGGAGGATATGGATACCTGCACCCCGAACTCACGTACGTCCACTGCCTGGAAAGTCACCTTTCATCTGGCGGGTTGCCCGACCTTTCTCCAAGGAGTAGTCAGACTGCTTTGGTTTGGGACCCCCATTATCGTCCGGCATCCGGACGTGGGCCGTCGCCTCCAATGTTTGCAATGTGGTACGCTAGGCCACCCGGCGTCGAGGTGTCAGTTCACTGATGCGCAGTTGCGGGGGCCGGGCGGGCTGGAGGTCCACGAAGCCGAGCTTTTAGCTGTTGAAGATCTGGCCAAACCGTTTAGTAGCCCTGATGAAATGCGGCAAATGGCGCAGCGACGACTGATTGTGCAGCAATCAGCCGATGCAGCGGCACAAGCTGCGGTGACTCCGGCGGTACCGGTCGCCACTTCCAGTCCACCGCCGGCCGCCGAGCCCCAGCCAACAGGTATACCTATCCAATCGGTGTATACTACTCATGTCGCGCACGAGGGCCCGCCTCTTCCGGCCCCAAAACCCCGGCCCGAACAGCCATGGATGAGACGCCCCCTTCGAGGGGGTCGTCGGCCTTGGCCCCCAGTTCAGCCTTCCCCGCCTCAGCTGAACGACAGCAGCGGGAGTTATCACGTTCTCCAGGAGGATGATAGGGCAGAGGAGAGTCCGTCTTCCCCATTTGAAGGCAGTGTCGCCTCTGCACCTCCGCAGCCGGGGACGGGAGGCTCCTCGACTCCTGCTTTTTCGGCACGGCTGTCTCACTCTCGGCTTCTGCCGGAGGATCAGGCCCGGAAACAAGCAGTCGGTATCCGGGGCCCGGCGGTAGTTACCGCGGGTCCGGCTCTCCTGACCCAGCAGCGACGGGAACGTCTGACTTGCGAAAAGCTTTTAAAGCTGCTGCCGGATCGGCAATGTCACTCGATACCCATGGATCCTAAGCCGCCAGCGGAACCCATCCACATGGGCGAGCTTGTGAGTATTCTGGGACTTCGGGAAATTAACACCCCAGCGAACAGCAATTGTTTGGCGATAGCTCTTGCTCAAGCGGTGGCTGAGTCTGCCTTGACCGCCCCTGCCAAGGACCAGGAGCTTCTCACGGCTTACATTAAACGAGGTATCACGTGTACAGGACTCTTGAACTTGGAGGATCAGCTCCCTCACGACTTGCGGGTGCAGGCACTTAAGAACGTGGGCCGTGGGTGGGCGTCGATGACGCGCACAGAGTCGGCTTCTCAATTCCGCTGGTTTTTGACGGACTTTGCGGCCACCCCATCGGGGCGAACTTCGCATGTGCCTACGGACTGTTGGGGGGGCAGTGACACACTCGGCATGGCAGCCACGTTTTTACAGAGAGACATCTTTGTCGTTCAACGCGAGGAAGCCACCCCTCAGTGGCGTTGCCGCAAGTATCACCCCGTTTCGATGACTGTACGGGGACGGGCGGTAGCTTCTGTAAAAGAGTACCCCCTTTATATTATGGCGTGCATCGACGAGCTGCAGGCTACCAAAGTCGGGGCGACCCAGGCTCTACCGTTAGTGTTGCGGTTTGACGGCAGCCACTACTCGGCATTGCTCCATTCAGCGGGAGTGGCCGATCCGCTAAACCTTACCGATACCCAGGACGGGCCGAGTGCGTCGCCGCAGGATCCGGTCCACTCCTTCGAGGACGCTAAAGCCACATCGTTGGTACCATTGGAGGAGAAAAGCGCTTCAGCACTGCCCTCAGACGACAAACTCCTTCCAGACAGCGGTGACCGGACGTCGATCGTCATTTACGACGCTGGAGACGTGGTCGCTCGAACCTCGGCACAACCCTCTTGTCCATTGGCTTTAACTTCTACTTCGAGCAGCTGTTGCGAACGCGGGATGGCCTCTGCGGCGCGGAAAAGGGGCCACGGCGGCTCTCCCCCGCTTCTGGCGGCGTCTGCGGATCCAGGTGCCGTCGTTCCGATCGGCTCTCGCCACAAGAAAGGTCGGGTTCGTGCAGCCCTACGGAATTCTTCACTAGACGCGCCGGACGACAGAATCGATCGGGACGAATGGCCGGAGCTCTGGAGTTATCTGGGAGCCGAATGGCCGACAACAGCAGCAACACCGTATCCTCTAGTATATGGAGACTCCAACGGTTGGGAGGCTACGGCTCGTTTGGAGCCGGAATTGTTACTCCATCACTTGCGCCGCTTCGTCTTTCCAGACGAAGTACTTGCTAGCTTGTCCGACACAGTTTTTGTACAGTGGACGGCGCTGTGGCGCCAGGAGTGCTTATTATCCGGGCTCCTAGAATTCCGACAGCGAGTGACAGAGCTACCCACGGGTGTCTGGCTCGACCAATGGATTGCTCGATCGCAGCAGCGCCTTTCGCCGTCTCTGCTGGCCCCTCTGATTGACAATTTCGACGATTGGAGAAAGTTGCGAGGGATTAACTATGCGGGGGACGACATTTTACGATTGTGTGACCCGCACAGACGCGTCCGAATGAGTCACCACCTCATGTGTGCCATCGTGTTCGACAACGAGATTTTTGCGCTGACGGGGACTGGCGAAAAGCCAGTACGCCCTCCCGAGCAACTCCGTTGCCACTTTCGCTTACTTCGGACCAATAGTACCTACAAGGATACGTACTACCCAGACGGGGATGCTCCGATCGACTGGACTGCGCTCGTTCGCTATTTTACTACTGCTTTGGCCCCGGCAGAGCAGAGGTTCCTCCTCGAGTACTAAGGGCAGCTTACGGCAGAATTCCGTCTTCCGCCCCGAAGTTCCTTTCTTTGAGGAAGCTGACGCCTACAGCCGGCATCGCAAACTTCAAAACTGGTCTCCGTCCTGGACTTCAGCAGTTAATCCACTGGATTCTCGGGGTGGGGACAGGCTCTTTATTTCCCAAAACGTGAGGGGCTTCAAGGCTAGCGCTCGGGAAGGGTGGTTGTCGGCGTGGCGGGGTGCGCCTCAGATCCGTCGCCCGCAGGCTTGGTGTATTCAGGAGACGCATGTACATACTGACGAAGAGGCAGGTAGGCTGAGTTCCAGGTGGGCTCAGTTATGGGGTCAACACCTTGATCCTGACGCTCCTCCTCTATCGTTCTGGAGTACTGGCTCTTCCAGCCGAGCTGGTGTTGCCATTCTTCTTACCCCTCATTCTGCTCGTACAGCTTCGGCCTGGGAACCGGAACGCTGGTCACCCCGGGCGATCGCAATTTCCATTGGGGAGGATGTTCTGATCAATGTGTACGCACCTACACTGCGAGGTGAACGGGAGGACTTCTTTACTTCCCTTCTCAGCTGGAATTTGATGGTCTCCAACACTATTATGGCGGGCGACTTTAACTGCGTCCAGTGCCCTCTCCTCGATCGGTACGGCAGTTACCGATCGCACCGATCGGAAAGCCCTGCCCTGGACGCGGCAGTTGCGACACTGGGCTTGGCGGATGCGAGAGATCTTCGGGATCATGCGGATGACGAGGGCACTGGTGATCCAACTGACCATTTCACTTACTGGAATGGGGACCGTGCCAGTCGCATCGATCGTTTCTATGTGCCTGAGGGGTGGGTAGGTCGCGTGCTGTGGATTGAAGCGCGGGTGCCATCAAATCAGTCGGATCATCAGGAGGTTGTGCTACACCTACGTGACCTGAACAAACCTCGTCCGTCAAGCCGGCATGGGCGTGTAACATATCCGATTCATTCATCGAACCCTGGAAGGATCGTTGACGAACTCGTCGCGGAAATGGACGGAAGGGCTATAGGTCAGAGCGTTTCTACCCTCACTTGGGACGCGGATGTCACAGAGTGTCAACAGTGCGTTCGACGCATCCGGAAGCGGGTCAAACAGCGCAGAGCGCGATTTCGTCGGAAGATTTAGGGCAGAGCTCGGCGACCTCTCCTCACCCGGCCGCAATTTATCTCCTGCAATATGGAGGAATTACGGCAGGAACATCTGGTGCGACTGGGCCAGAAGCTCGCCAGGACGGCTGACCAGTTGCGCTATTTTTACAAGCGGGTTGCCGACTGGGAACGCAATCAAACAGTCACAACAATTTTGCGCATCCACGGCCCGCATTTTACCCGGGATATGACTAACGCGGATAAATTTGCCTTCGAATGGTCTACAGTCCTTGGCAAAGTTCATTGCCAGGAGGAGAGAGTGGACTTGCCATCAGCCATTCGCCGTTTTGTCAATCTACCCACAGACCGGGTCTTGTCTTCTGCCGACAACCGGGCTCTCTTGGCTGATTTTTCGGAAGCGGAAGTCCTTGCAGCCGTTTCTGGGCTCAGTCGACATAAGTCTGCGGGACTGGACGGGCTCAACAACGATTTTTACAAGGATACGTCTGCACTTCTTGTCCCCGCCCTGGTCCAGCTCAGCAATCAAATTTTGGCTGGAGCTGATCCCCCGCCTTCGTTTCTCGAAGCTTTGATCATACCCTTGCGTAAAAAGGGAGACTCGGCGGATGCGATGGATTACAGACCGATTTCTCTACTCCAAACCAGTTACAAGATCTTTGCGAAAGTGCTGGCCACACTACTGCAACGCGTATTACCAAAAGTCATTGGTGACTCGCAGCAAGGCTTCGTACATGGACGTCAGATGTCTAAACTAGTGTTGATGATGCTCGCTCAACTGGCGACAGCAACATCGGATACAACTACATCCGCCGACGACAGCCGAGTGATCCTCCTACTGGATTTCCGCAAGGCTTATGACACGGTCGATCGCGAATTCCTGTATGAGGCTCTTCGCCAATTTGGTTTCGCGGAAAGGTATGTTCAGCTTATTACTCGACTACATACTGGTACTACGGCCGCGTTCCTTGTAAATGGGGAACAGTCTCGTCCCATCTCCGTCGTTTCCGGTATCCGGCAAGGCTGTCCACTCGCCCCTTTGCTTTTTCTCGTCGGGGTGGAGATATTGGGCGTTGCGGTACAGCAATCACCAGATTTGTCTGGGCTTCCTGTCCCTGGACGACATCCGGCAACGCACGTTTTCTCGGCGTTTGTGGATGACTCGACAATCTTTCTCGAGAAGGCCAGTCAGCTGGAGCCAGCGATAGCTCTTCTCTCTCAATTTGGGACCCTATCAGGGCTAGTTGCCCAACCCTCCAAGAGTCAGATCATTTGTCTTAATCGGGCTGTGCACGTAGCCGACATGCGGGGCATTCCGGTCCTTCAACAGGCGGACACGGTGCGATACCTGGGCTATCAAGTCGGACTGAGACCCTAACACAATTGCAACTGGGCGCTTCGCATCCGGAAGCTTCAACGGAGGCTAATGACAGCTTCTAGGGTGGCGACCAGTGTGGCGAATCGGGTGTTGATCCTCAACTCCATCATTCTCCCGTCTGTTCTGTTTACGGCGGCGGTGTTCGATATGCCTGAATGGGCACGACTTGCTGTCCACAACCTGTACAAACAATTTTATGGGCTCATGCGACTTCAACGGAAGCCAGCCGACACAAGATTAACCCGGGACTACTTTTCACCCCCAAAAAGGCAGGGGGGGTTGGGTTGGCCTCTTTGAAAGTGGCTATTAAAACGCAGCGTACCAAGCACGCTTTACAGTGGCTCACACAAGCTCAGGACAAGTATTTTGGAGCCTGGAGTGCGTGGGCTTATCAAGGCCGGCCGACAAAATCGAGCCTGGTTCTCCATTGCAGGACGCAGGCAGCTGGGGTTGCATCGTGTGTCGGGGCACCGTCCCCAAATTCATGGGTACCGGACGTTGACAAGCTTCTACACCCTACGGTAGAGCAAGCCACCATACTCAGCGAGCGGGTACGAACGTACTACCACCCCGTCCTCCACGGCGCCAGTAGCTGGTGGGAGGAGGAGGAATGGGTTCTGTCGTATCATCACCCTTTCCCGGCTGGGTTACCTGCGCTCGATCCTCAACAGTGTGCGCTACATCGCTTTTGGGGGGACACTAGGCTGGAGTAATAACCCGTGGATCCAGGACGGCAATGGCCTTCCGTTAAAATCCGCTACCTACGACCGGATCGCGATCTGCCCCATCTCGGACCTGCACATTCGGCGAACAGGGCCAACTGAATTTATTTTTCGCATTAAGCCGGTTGGACCCCGATCTATTCACCACTCGCAGCCTAAACTCCGTCGGTGGGCGACGGCAATCTTGCTGGCATCCCCTACATTTCCCATTGGGGGCGAATTAGCGCTCGAACCTGAGCTGGTTCTTCGCCATGCACCACCTTTTCGACATGAATGGACCTGGGCCTCGGTGCAACAAGGTCGAGTGGTCGGGAGGCGAGAGGGGTACTTGGAAGTCGCTGACCAGCCTGTTGAACTGCAGCAGAGTGGGGATGGAATTCGCTGGTTTTTCACCTCTCACCTACCAGAGTTAGCTACTAATTCGGACGAGGACAGATCCATTTGGGACCTACGCCTGCGTCGTCACGGCGTCGTGTTTTACTCCCATCCCGGGCATCATGGCTTTCCTTGGGCCGTCGCCGAGTCGGTCGCGAATTTAGCTATACGAAAAGCTATTTCACGCCTGGCGTTCACGTTTCACAAAAGACTTCTTGCAGTCGCATTGCGACCGCTGGTGCGGCGTCTGGACGCCGTCTGTGACTTCGATCAGTGGCAGCGGGCTGCCGCAAACCAAGACCCGGCACACGTTTGGAAGCATGCCAATGGCCTTTCCGACCATCAGGTCTGGACGTGTTACCGTATAGCCACCAAGCAACTCAACTTGTACCATGCCGGCCGTCCGGCGGACAATAGTTGCCGGGCGTTATCGGCGTGTCACGGTTGCAAAGAAACGCCGGCTCACATCTTTTGGGACTGCCCCAAGGCGCGCGCGTGCTGGGGTCAACTCATTACCCATTGGACAGGTGAAAAAGCTGGGAGGCCGTGGGGAGAGCGTAGGTTCGTCGGGAGTGTGAATCGTCACGCGCCGGAGATACCGTCCAAGCAGCGTCTTCGGATTTACCATATGCTCCCGGAGGACTTAGAGGCTGGTGTCGCGGTTTGGAAGCGTCTCTGGTTTATTATGAGCAGCATTTGTCTGACCCACTTATGGAATGAGCGGAACGACGCGGTTTTTCGAGGAGTGCAGTCGAAGCCTCTCCACAGCGCCGCGCGTTTTTGGGCGCTGGGAATTCGACATCTTACCGCATTAGCGAAACGCGAACATCGCGGTCCCGCCACAGCTGTCGCCGGGGCTATCATGCATACCTGTATCGACCTCTTTATTCTCGAACCTCGGGATGGGCCGATATCTTTAGGGGACAGCCACGACAAGCTACCAGTTCCGGAGCTATTGTCCTGGCTTAGAAGTTTTCAGACATCTTTAGCATAATCATATGTTAATAGAAGGTCATGAAATCATCATAAGCTACGGACTCACCGGAACGACACGGTCAAATCGGGCAGTCGCGTAACAAAACGCATCCTAGGCGCCACGACCAGTTTTCGGACTTCATGTGTCTATCAACTTGGCGTTATCGTGACACGAGAGCATCAACAAGTGCCGTCGGCTATTAGGGGTGCTATGCTGCAAGTATAAATCGAGTTACTCGAGCACGAATCGAGAGAAAAGGCCGCCGAACAGGACTAGGACCAGCCCTGGTCAGCCGCCGGATTATTTGGTGCTGGCATGTCCACGAACTCTACGATCTTTCACGCATCGTTCTTTTTCTTTTGTGTAAACGACCATCTGAAATCAACAGAACATCGTGAACACATATGGATCAGATCGAGGCTAGAGCGGGCAAGCAAGAAAGCCAATGCCTCAACCTCGAACGTTGCTAGACATTTTCATCGAGATCGAGTCGAAACATGCGTGTCACAGCCATAAAGTGCCCTTCTGCGTGTCAGCATCTGGTCATGCTACTCTCGATCGACTATTCACATCTTAATGCTAGCGCTCGTGTCAAAAAGAAGACGCGTGTTAGAGGCGTATCCACCGCGACTGCATCGCCCGACCAAACTATTGCATATACATCGTAGTTTGAGAGAGAGGAAGCGTCTGCTTATGTAACGTTTGTATCGATTCCATAATGTCTGATGCGCTGATAAGCCAGTTCCACAGCGCCGACGTTGTTTGTCCATCTGGTGGTCGTACATGGCCACTGTTTACATCGCATTTTTTTTGCAGCGCAGGTTGCGGCTTTGATTGCCCTATCCATGCTTTGTCCTGCTAGCATGGCCTTTCTAGAATCAGTAATGCCGTCACGTTCTTGCAGGTAAGAGTCCAGCTATAAAAAGCCCTGGAGCCAGTCCCGCGCTGTAAGACTCCAACTCATAAAACCATGCTGCACTTTTTGACCTCTTCGGGACGTAATCAGATTAAATATATGCACGTGTCATGCCCATCACGAATCTTAGCACGCAAGATGGGATAGTGAAGACTGACTGATAAGCTCAGCACCTTTACTGTAGTGAAGTTGTTGCGTCATGATGTCAAATGCACTTCGACTGGTGGTGTTGACCTTGCTGTGGGTCGAGAGAGTATGTTCGTTCAACCAACACATTTCACTGAATTTGATAAGCTTCCTAGCATTTTTAGACCTCTCATAAGTCGTGAATTCGAATGAGGGGACTAATAGCTGGGCATTTTCGATGGTTCGATTGTATTTCGATCAGTTAATCTGCTTGACAGCAAGACTTTATTGGAAAAGTAAACCTACGATACAAACACTTTTAGGCGTGACAAAGTGCTGAATGCTTACATATAAGGTCATCTTCATGTACCGGTCATCTTATCGTTAGAATGTGCAGACATCTAGCTAGAGATGCTGAGGTGCGCCTTGTCACTAGCAAAATTGACATTTATCATTTTGTGAGCTTTATCATTTTGCAACACGTATGAGATCATACGTTAGGCTTGAAGTGCAATCTGCACAAAATACTCTGAATGCTAAATGCACAGTGTACGTCCAGATATTCATTTTACGTCGGTCACTATGCAGTCTATTTGCTCCTTTTTTTTTTGGGGTATCTTTGCTTCTAAACTTTAATGGATGTTTGGTAATTTTTCTGACACTGTGGCACAAAGTAAATAATTTCTCGCCTTATTTTGTGATCTATATCCCTAGTTTTCTTTATCTTATAACCTTTTTTAGTCTAAAATCTCGTGGTAAATTTTAAAACTATAGTTATTTAGTAATTTCATTGCTTTTGTCTCATCTTGGTTTTTTCTTTCCGTGTCATTTGATCTCTGCTTAAAAATGTCACCAACAAGATATTTTCGAGCTCATGGAGTCAACTTATCGGTGACTGTGCAAAAATATAAATGCCAAATTTTACAAACCTTTGTTTCTTTAATATGTGTGTCCTCTGTACGAAAAGTCTGTCTGAGTACGTACCAGCCTCTCCCCACTCATTGGTAGAAAAACAATATTTATAGGTGCGGCCTTATAACTTGGTCACCAGTTGCGGTTGCATAGAACTGCACGTCACGCACGCATACACGGACCAAAGCAGGCACGAGGTGATTAACATCCGTATTACTACACCTCCCAACCATAAATGAACTGAAACATTCTGTTGTCCACACGAACTAAATTGATTAACCGAAACTCACATCCTCGTTTAGTCCAGCATGATTGATAAACTCGTCATCACAAACAATCTATTTCAAGCCGTTGGCTGCGAGCTCTTGCCATAGAAAACAAGGATGTCAGTAATTTTAAGCTTTAGCATGCAAAGATAATTATTTAGCACGTAGATCGCCTCCCTATTCCTTGCTGATCGCTTCTAAACTTATCGGTGAATGTTTTTTAATTAAAAATGACAGCTAATCCAATTTTTAGGTCAGAATAAAATAGCATTAAAAATGAATTTTTTATTAGCTACTTTCACTCCATATTAAACAATCCTTCAAACGTTCCGCATAATTATGACAAAAATGCCCTTCTTGTAAAAAACGATATTGACGCCCTATATTTTGACTTGTTTCGCTCTTTCGATTTAAATTTAGTGTCTCGATTTACCATCCTTTGTGCGAATAATGCATAATATGAACACGTGATATTTATAGAAAGTCTTCCATCTCGTCGTATCTAACTTAAGGCGCCTAAAACAGTTAATCATTTGTGCTAGTTCCTGTGGAACTTGTGCAAGTTGCTACTTTTTAGCAGACCATTCCTAGTATTCGATGATAGTCTGCAACAGATAAAATATCTACAAAATACCTATCACGCGGTTGCATCTCCCAAACTGTCTTCATTTTTCATAGTAGACTTTTTTTGCTTAAAACCATGACGCGGCGTAACCATCGAAAATACGCAATGAGCTTGTGTGGTAGTATGCGCATACCTGAACTTTCTTTGATCGTTCAATGCCTAGCCAAGAGAGATCGCGATCGTGCGTTTGTCTCGACGTCTTGCTACAAGAGATTCCATAGCAAAGTACTACGATTTATAATGGCACAATGACTGCACAATGAATTTGAAGCAATTTTGTGCAAATAAATCGTAAAGTCTGATACTATATTACGAATTTTTATCTTTACGGAATGCTTGTCGGCAGTGAGGAGGAGGACCGGACGAAATCACAACGGGTTGAGTGGGTATCCATAACAGCTTTGATTCATCAATTACTCAATGGTTGTAAAACAGAAGCTTTATCTATATAATAATTAGCATGGTACGTCCTATTAACTGAAATACTGCATTGCGATGATCTCGATCATAACGTTGTATTACTCTTTCATGATCATCCCTTCCAATGTTACATGAAAAGGCATTGTTAAACTCATGGAAAAAACATTTTACTCTAAAATGGCCTAAATCATAAAATCTTTTTCTTATGGCCCTTGAAAGTACACTCCTATCGAGCGAACTAAAGTATCGTAGAAATGTAGGAAGTGAAGGTACGGAATCTAGCAACAGATTCTTTCGGCTATATCACGTAAGATTACGAAGATAACAGTATAGTAACTAATTTAACAGAAGGGTACGAAACCCTGGTTCGGCAAGAAATGTGTAAATATCAGTTTAGACAAAGAGTTTTGTAGCGAAGCTACTAAGAGCCTCTTAGTAGAGAAGTCTTGGACTCAAAGAGTCTCTTTGTTTAAACAAGCTAAAAACGACGTACCGTCGTAAAATCGCACAAGCTTAACATTCCCAGTTCCAAAGGGAATACGATTCACAGAATCACACACCAACTAGAGACTAGTAGTTAAACAAGAGCAAGCACCTTTACAAGGCCAATAATTATAATAACACACTACGATTTTACAAGACACTTGCGTCCAACGATTCAAAAGTGGAGCTGGATTTTATCGATCCCTTAGCTACGGTAACAAAACCATTAAACTTTGTCTGACCTACTTCAACGTTGCGATCCTATGACAGAAGTCTTATCCCTTACCCTTACCCGATGAGGTGCGGTATTACCGTGAGTACATGGTACCAATACTGTACCACTCAGATCCACCGATCATTACATGGTGTGTACACACAACATAAACGGTCAAATAACCGCCTTGTAACCCCGCTACTACATCCACCACCAAACTGTCGACACCCTTGTGTCGACGATTTTCCTACTGCTCTTTGAGGGGTTCAAAGCTCTGATCCTTGGCCATCGTGTTTACAACACATCTCAAAATGACTGAGTTAAATCCTTCATTCATCAACCTTGTGGAATTCTTTGAAGATGGAATGTTGGACTATAAGAGTGTTACTGTCGCGTCAAGTGTCTATGACCACCCTCCAGCTACGTCACCAGCGTGTGACACCACGCGCGTCGAGTCTAATCCATTCGTGGAATGCGAGAAGGTACCTTCACCCCTTGCACAGCGTGCAGCCGTCGATCCTGCTTCGGGTGTGTTGCAAAACACACTCGATGAAGATCAAGCTCAACATCTTCAGTCGGTCGATGAATGCAGGAGTCAAGCACAATGTGTAGCCACAGCGTATGTTCACAGCGGTAACCGCTTCACATGACCAAGTGTGGAAAAATGCGTTCGTTATACTGCCGGGAAGTCACTCGCAACATGTGTCACGGGACCTCAGGCTGTCACAGCCATAACAATAGCGGAGAGGGAGGCTCTCAAAAATACATACCTGGAAGGTCGATTGTATGACCGTCCACGATTACCTCGACAGACTGAATCAGCAAGCGACGTGCGTCAATTTCCGCCATGCGGACAATGCCCATCGTTCTCTTCCCTGGTATGACGGAGGCGTAAAATGATGTCGTCTTCACGCGTTAGGCTCACAGAGATTGCCGTCTACCAAGCCTGTGGAATCTACAAGAGAGCAATTTACTTGCTGACGGTCGGCTCAAACGAAAGGTGCCCTTTGATTTTGCAAAACAAAACGCCAAGAGCCAACTGCAATCATTTTATTT